ATTTTACTATTTAATATGTTGTAGTTTACCATCTTATATACTTTATTTAAATAGTTTCTCCTAATGGAAATAAACTTATGGCCTCCAGCAGCAGCAGCAAAGAAGACATCACTGAATAGACTGAATACCAGTGTGAAGGCTCAGGCATTGAAATATGACAGGTGTGGCAAATAAGCTGTCAGCAAACAGGAAATGATACATGTTTCTTGTCATAACATAGTTGTTTTTAGTGATTACCTTATATTGTTGTTGTGTTGCCTATTGCATTAATATGTATGTTATTAATGTACAGTATGGAGCTTTTCAATGTAGCTTCATTATGTATATGTTTAACATAAAGTCAATAAAATCCAATTTTTCCACAAGTAACAAGATGTCTCTGTTTAATGAGTATAAAAGAGAAGAGTATGTATTTCAACAAACATTTCAGGTATTTCTACATTTAATGTGCAAACATCTGAATGCACCCTAAAGCATGCTGACACCACAGATGGGCTACAGATGATGCACCAATAAAACCCACCATAAGAATACATAGGATCAGTGAACAATACATTAAACACATGAAAAAAGAATCTCAAAAAAGCATTTAAAAAAAATTCTGCTTTTAACAAACTGTTTTAAATCAATAAAGCAACCCGAAGAGTTGCTGTGTAGCTGGTTGCACCAACGATAAATCCAAACACACTGATCTCTGATTTGTTTCCCTGCCGTGTTGTAACAAAGGTAAATGGCTAAATGATGCCAGTTACTACTGATGTTAGCAAACTAAATCTGAGCCTGCAGATCAAACAGTTAGCTGTTAACAGGTTGCTCATTTACAGACAACACTTAGCCTGATGTTACCTGGTGATACCATCAAATGTGCATGTCCAGATAAGCATTATTCAGCTACTGTGTTGGGTTATTCATCAACTTAGACAGGGGAAGACTGAAGGGACATGACAGTCATTAACCTTAATTTATCAAGCCATCACTAAGAAATGAATTCAGATGTGTCAAAATTATAATCTAAACACATATAAAATTGCAGTGACATCAACAGGATCTATGGCTTTCTTTCCTCCAAAAGGGGGCGAGGCCTTGGTATTTTGGGAAGTACCAATATTTAGTTTGAGGATCACACATTTAGCCATCATTAAAGCAAAGAAGAAAAACATCAAGATAATAGGTGATTTCAAACTAATGAACGGTTGTGTAGTTGATCTTAATGACAGCTCTTGTTTTATTACCTAAATATAGATGTCTAGATAAGCATTATTCAGCTACTGTGTTGGGTTATTCATCAACTCAGACATAGGAAGACTGAAGGGACATTCCAGCGATCAACCTTAATTTATTAAGGTGTCACTAACAAATGTTTATTTACCAAGAAATAAATGAACACAGATATGTCAAAATTATAATCCAAACACATGTGATTGCAGTGACATCAACAGGATGTTTGGCTTTTTTTCCTCCAAAAGGGGGCGAGGCCTTGGCATTTTGGGAAGTGCCAATATTTGCTGGTTGGTCTGAAGCTTGAAGATCACACATTGATGACGTACAGTCGAAAGTATCTGTGATATTTCTTGTTCTCTTCCCATCTATAATCACAGTTTCACACAGGAAAGAAATGTCTTCTAATCTACTTAAAGGAGCTATATGTAAGAAATCTAAAGCAAATAGTCGTAAAATCATCCTAATATGTCACAGAGACTAAGGAATAATGTTAATATAACATACTGATCTCACCGACAACAATAGTACAGCCAGAATATTTGCATCTATTCAGACTCTGCACAGAGGGGCTCCCACACCCGGGATTGAACCGGCAGCCCTCTTGCTGTGAGGTGACAGTGCTAACCACCACACCACCATGCCGCCCTGCCTTTAAACAATTGCATAATATTTAAAATAACCGATAAGTAATCGTATGTATGTGAATGAAAACACTTCTGACTTAGTATCATTTCATGTAATAAACTCACTCACACTTGCAACAACAGACATCACACACACACACACACACACACACACACACACACACACACTTGCCTGACCTTAACCTACACCTTGCCTTGCCCTCACCTTAACCCAGGTCATCACCCTAAAATTTAATGGTACATTCCAGGAATTGCGTTTTGTCCCCTTAGGGAAGGCAAGTCCCCACAACGTCACTCTGTAAGCAGATTTATGGCCTCACCCTCACAGCGTAAGTAATACATGTCCACACATGCACACCCAAAGAGATAATACGCTGCATGTGAGTGTATTATGAAATCAAGCAGCTGCAGCAATGAAATGAAGTTACACAACAACAAACAAGTACGAAGAGAAGCAAAGAAAAAAACAAGAGGTTGGCTAATATCTGAGAGGAAGTGGTATTGTGTACAAAACTGTGACGTATGTCACCTTGTCAGGGAGCTCAACAACATGTAGTTCTGATAAGTTCAAGAGACGAAACCAAACCACAAACATGACTGGCTGGTGAGATCAGAGCTGCAGGGAGTTCACTACTGTTAAAATGATTTTATAGTTCATTGTCACACTAATATCTTAAAGGGTTGTCATTAAGATAAAGTACACAACTGTTCAAGAGTTTGGAATCAGCTGTTTTACTGATGTTTTTCTGCTTTCTTTTAATAATTGCTATTTAAACAGAGATGAAAAAAAAAACAAAACAGAGTAATTCAGACACCAAAGCTATTATTTACACTTGAAATAGTTGTAGCCCAAATTATTAATGACTCAGTAATAGATAAAATTGTTCAAACCTTAAACATCTACAGCAGTTATGTCTGAAAACATAATTTTTCATTCAAAAATGCTGTTCAGACACAAATGTGCCACAACAATACATGCACACTTTTATTTCTTGGGTGCTGCTCTAATAAATTCAGCTGTTTGAATTAGCAGCTTTGTCTCAAGAAAGGCTTTTTATTTATGCTGTCACACTACAGTAGATAAGTGAGACGTACGAGAGGACAAAAATCTGACACTACATTGTAATAAATGGTGGATTACTTTACTTTTGTAGTTTAGTGTTGAGACATTTTTACTAGATATATTTACTCTATTGTGGCTGCTCAGGAAAATTGTATCTTAACATGTTGCCTACTAATACATCAGTCTATTTACTTTCCTGTCTGTGCCTTTGCTTTTGACAGTCATTCTTGGATGTCTCATTCTTCTCAAAGTCTAAAAATACACGTTAAAGTGAATCTAACATATTTGTCCTTCTGCAACAGCTTATCTGTCATGATCCTGGGTTTTGGTTTCATATTGTTGTGGACTTTGTGTTCCTTTTTTCATGATGTTTAGCTCATATTTAATCTGCTTCCTGTTTTATTTTGTAGATTCTCTCCTCATGTGACGCGTTTGGTTTCACTTCCTGTCTTTGTGTGTTAGTGTTTTCCCACCTGTTTTCTGTCACACCTGTCTCATTAGTCCTTCCCTGTTCCCTGAGTCGTCCCTTCACACCTGTTTTGTATTAGTCTTGTCTGCTCCACCCTTGTTGTCAGCCAATCCCTGTTTCTCTCCTTTTGCCCATGTCTTCCTTCTCCAGCTGTGTCTCGTCCTTGTGATTAGTCTTCTGTGTATATATACCTGTGTGCTTCCCTTTGTCAGTCAATCTGCATACTGTCTGTGTTCGTCTGCATACCTTGTTTATCATTCCTGCCATCATCTTGTGTCCTCCCCTGGTCTTCATGTCTTTTCGTGGTTTGTTTTTTTAGTTTGGGTTTTTGTGTCTGCTCCCTGTTGGATTTTGAGTTGCCTGCCTTTTTGGAAATCTTTATACAGCCACATTAAAGCTCACCTTTTGGTGAAAACTTAAATCTGTCTGTTTGATCTGCATTTGGGTCCACCTCTGAACTGACAGCTGTAACATTATCTTTGTAAACCTACCTGGAAAGCAAATACAGGTCAAGACCGCAACCTGAGACTGATATGGTGCTCCCTCTGACAACCTCCACCTGCCCAGTTTAATATACAGTTCACTAGCAAGAATTCAGAGGGTGTAGTTGTTGAGGAATGGTGAATGGATGGAAGTGGGGGTGAAGGTTGAAGAGGGATGTCTTCTGTTAGGTTGGTCTGGGAGGATGAACTTGATATTGGACAGAGGGAGACTCAGTGTGGGGGTTCCGTCTCAGGCGTTTTCCTACCCGAGCGGATTACGGGCCCCCCAGACAGTACCTAGAAAGAGACATGGGAGAGGTATGCACCAGATTGAATAAGAAGAGATGATGGAAGACGGGAGGAGAGGATGAAGGAATGTTGGTAGGGATGAGGTAGGAGGGGTGATGTGTGAAGGGAAGGGAAAGGGAGGGTAGGTCAAGAAATTTGAGACAAACGAAGCAGGATGGGTTGACCGGGTATAAGTAGGCTTGACAGGTAATCAGAGGTGTGGTTGAGATGTGGCCCTGCTCCCAAACCTAAGTTAACAAATTAACTTCATTTCAAGAGGTCCTTGGTCTTAAAGGTGTTGAAGACCCCTGGCTTACATTCAACGAAAACAACCATAACTGTTGTTGTTTTTCTGACACAACTGACTCTCAGCAGAGAAACGAATTGTGAAATCAAGCTTTCTCAAGCAAATTATTAAAAAAAAAAAAAATAAGATACACTATCCCCTGTGATGCCTTGACAATTAACTGCTCCGGTTTTGTCTCATCTGCATTATTGCAACACATTATACTCATGTCTTGGGGTATTTCCACTATAATTTTATTCCTATGGTGGGATTTTATGGTGTTTGTGATGTGTTCGTGATGAAGTTCAATTCATACATATTTGTGCTGGAACTTAACTTTTGTGCCACACCTAAAAGCCTTAATAAGAAAGACACTATAAATCAAGATTACTATCAATTTCTTTCATTAATACAAGACAAATAAAAACACTCCTCATACTGAGGAATGTGGCCATAGTGTATAAAAACATGGTGTCTCGCAGTGAGTGCATATGTTTATTTATACCCACTCCTCTCCTATATATTCATTAAACAGACATCTTGTTACTTTGGTTAAATTTTGATTTTATTGACATGTTTATGTTAAACTTACACATTATGATGCATTGTGAACAGGTTATGTAATGCAACACATACTGTACATACAAGGACTACTTTATACATATTCATATAACAAGCAGCATAGTAGATATAGAAGGTAACAAATAAGATTGTCTCTCCTGTTTGCTGACATCTTATTTGCCACACCTTCATACTGGTATTCAGTCTATTCAGTGACATGTTCTTTGCTGCTGTTTACAACAAGCCGGCCTGCTTGAGGCCATATGTTCATTTCCATTAGGAGAAACTGTTTACTCAAAGTAAATGAGATGGTGAAAAATAATAAAATAAAATAAAAATAATATTAAAATGTAAAATTACTGCTGTGAACGATATAGCAAATAAAATATTAATAATTAATAAAAGGTGATAAATAATTTTTATATCATCAAACATTTCAGGATGTGCAGATCTGATTTCTATGTGTGCAAAAGAGATATATAAAATACAGTTCAGTGTAAATACCAAGGCATTTCAACTGCAAAAATCCACTTAAATTTACCCTTAAGTGGCTTCAAAGCTAGAGAAAATATTTGTTTACTACTCTATGACAATGTCACATACATTTTCTTGCATATGCTTCTTCTAACGCTTCATTGAAGCTACATTATTATTCTTATTCTGGGTGAAATATTCAGATGCCTTCCTCCATTTGATCAAATGGGACATATCTAGACTTCATCTAGTGGTCATCATACATTTATCTTGTCCAGGTTGATAGCTCTACAATCTTTGATTTGACAAGAATTAACATGTTACTTGTATACTTAATAAAACAAAGGCTTGTAATGGCCTAGAGGCTGTGGATGGACTCTGGCTGAATCTGAAGCCGGGTCTTGGTGGCCAGGGCTGCCTTACGGGTCATGGTGGTGCAGCGGGTCAGGATCTCCTCAGTTTTGGGTCTGGGTGGCAACCTGGGAGCGACTGAACCTGTCTCACTGCCTTTGGAGCTGACAGATACAGCGCTGTCAGTGCTGGTGTTGGAGCTGCGGCGGTCAGAGAGGCTGAGATCAGGGCTGCGTCTCCCGCTGTTGCTGACACCAGGCTGGGATGAGGCTGCAGGACTGCCTGAACGGCTCTCTGCTAAACTTGAGGTTGATTCGCTGCTTGAGGAGAAGCCTGAGAAGCTGATCTCAGTGCTTGTGTTGCTTCCACTGCGTGCACGACCATCTGAGGTGGGGGCATCCCTCTCCATCTGTGTCTGGGTCCAGGTCTCAGAGAGGACATCCAGAGATCGGGCCTTGTGGAGACGCCCGGGCACACTGGGCTCTCTTCTGGACAGACCTGCTGAATCCTGCTGTGGGCCGTCTTTGTTGTTGCTGGGTCGACGAGGTGCCTGAATTGCCAGGTTCAGAGTGGAGCTGTGCAGCTTGTGCAGACTGTAAAGGCCGGCCCGTGGATTGTTGTATGGTTGCAGGTTCATGGAGGGGACGTAACCTGCTTTGCCATTGAATCTGAAACAAGGATTGCAAAGAAAAAGGAATTCATTACAAGTCTGCAAACTATGGCAACATCCTAGACTGACTTTAGGAATTTATCTGACATTTGATACTGCTGTTGTCAGTACTTCAAATATTATTCTAACAAAACCATACTCTCTAGGTAGACAAATGCACATGCACCTGATTCCTATCCTCCATTGTTTGTATTGCAGACAGATAAGATTGTAATACCTGATGAGCCACCAGCCGTCATCAGACTTCCTCAGCACCTCCACCACAGAGCCAATGGGCACAGACACCTCGTCACTCTCCTTAGCAGAGAAACTCCTCACGGCACAGTACAGGGCACCTGAAGTTCACAAACAAGACAATAAGCTCAGAAACTGCTGCACAGCTAAAGTCTCTCTTGAGACGTGGTAAAATTAAGACAAATACACAGATTGACTAATAAAACCAGAGTGTACAGAGTTTTGGTAGAAAGGATCAGTTGCATGTTAACTTTCAATGGTTAAATAGCGCTCCCCAGTGTTGGCTGTTTGTAACAACTGGGCTTCACAGTAAAATGCTAGGTATGTGCATCTGGCATGCATTGATTGGCACAATGACTGCTGAATGATGTCACAGCTTACACGATGCTAGGTTTACAAATTACTAATATACTAATTACAAATTATTCAGTCAGTTCTCACCTGCAAGCTGGAATCCATCATCGCCATCATCATCCTCCGTGTCCAACAACTCCAGGTAGGGAGCAGGAAACCAAGCCAAACGCTTATCCTCGTTCTCCACCAGCCACCAACCTAGAGAGGAGATAACACAGACTTTCAGTACAACAGAAATGAAAGTGAAGGAAGGTTTTTCTTTCTGATTTTCAGTAAGCGACTGCATGAAAGCTGAAGAACTGACCTGCAGGGTCTTTGATCAGGACATCCAGCTTCTCATCCACAGCCACCTTAAATGGACGATTCTTGGTGTCCTTTGTCTCGTAAGCAGCCACGCAGCGGTAAGTCTGGGTGACGAATGGGTGAGTGACGTTGCCTGCATGCTGGCGAGTCCCATCACCACCTTCTCCACCTGAGCCATCGGGCAGATCATCAGACAGCAGGATCATGATGCTGTGAGAGAAAAGTCAGTCGTTTAATAACCAAGAACTTCTAATGGCCTCTCACATTATTTGAAGTAACACGCTGACATGACAAGCTACCTGTTCTTGGTGAAGTCTGGCTGCAGGTCATGGTCTTTGGGCATGAAGAACTGTGTGACCTGTGAGCTCTGAGTCACAGGTTGGTCACACTTCAGCAGTTTGTCGCAGTAGCTGTCCAGGAACTTCATGCGTTTGACTGATCGCTTGGATCCTTTCTGCTGGAGGCTGCTCTTCCTGGCCTGCCCTGGATAGAGGAGAGGAAATGACATCAAGATTAACACATTTGCTCCAAAGAAGATTTGTTTTTTTCCTAATGGTCACACTTTTGGTCACACAGTGATAATCTTACCCCTAAATTTTGGGATCAGTCTGTCATTTTTCTTGAAAGGGTTCATGTGAGGGAATCCCTTTTTCAGCTGCCTCTGTTTGAAAAAAATACATTTTTATTAATGATTATTCATACAACATAAACAGCACACTGAGCACTTGTTTGGATTTTGTTTTTCTTTTGGACTCACATGAAATTTCTTGAAATCCTGGAAGGACCTGTAGACAATCACTTCAGTCTCATCAGACCATAACACAGATATCATGAACATCTGTGGAAGTAAAAAAAAACAAAGGATCAGAGAAATATTCTCAGATACAACAAAAATATTTAACACCTAAAATAAAAATGTCTGAGGTCTTAACTCACCTTGAGTTTTGGTGAGTCCCTGTGGACGGCTCCGATCATGCGGGCACTGATTACAAAGCGCTGTTCACCAACCATGATGCACTCGTTTGTGTCTCAGTTCGCAGGATGAATAGTTGCTTTCTTGACCTTCAGTCTCCCGTTGACCGGCCTCTGCTGCTCTGCCAGATCTGAGAGTCTGCTGCTGTAGATATAGGCCTCACAAAACGGAGGCGGAGCCTGACTGAAAAACACCTGAGAGCTGCAGAGAAAAGGATGGAGGTGAGGTCAGGAGAATGAGCTATCATTAAAACAATAATTACTCCACGTGTACCTGGGGAAAATACCCAGCTGATGCAATTAGCCAGGCCAAATTATTGGACTGAGTTTTATTTTACAGGCAATTATTTACACAAAGGATTTCAATCATCTAAACAGCATTGCATGACACATACTGTAGCCTCAGCCAAGTAAGATTATTTTGTCAGGATATATTTGTTCATCTGCCAGATAGTCACCAACTACAGAAATACAACAATTCTATGTCGTTAAAAAAAAAAAAAAAGAGTGAAACTATCAGCACAGTATCAGCACAGTAGCATGTCAGTGCATTTTTTATGCTAATGCTAATTAGTCTAATGCTATCATAGGGGTGTAGATTTCAACAAAAATATTAAAGGCAGGGTGTAAATAAAGAGAGTACAGGCAGTGCGGTGGCACATAGACCCGTGGGATGGGGGCCCATAGAGAGAGCAGGCCCTCCAACAGTGTGTTGGCCAGAGAACAGGCTCTAGAACAGGCTCAGCCTATAAGCTAAGCTAACAGTCTTCTGGATGTAACTTCATATTTGAGGAACAGACATGAGAGTGGTATCAATGTATCTGTGTAACTCATGTGGCAGGACAACAGCTAGCCATATTTCCCAACACGTTGACAAGTTTCAGTTTGACGCACGGATTAAAAACAATCTTTGAAGTAAGTGAACGTGATATTGCCTTCTCAAGAATTTATTACATCAGTGTAATCGCTTCCTGGCATCACCAGCATCCTCCAAAAATTAAAACTTTTCTTGCACGTGCAGTCACTTCACACTTGTCATCTGGCAGCAATATCCCTTATCAGGAACTAGTGTGGAGAGCTGTGGTGCTGTTGAGACTGACTAAACAGGTAAGCACGTGTATGTGTGTGTGTGTGTGTGTGTTTGGGGGGTGGGGGGGTGGGGAGCAGGTGTTTCTTCAAAGTGAGGATTGCATGAGAGGGCCACAGTCAGAGGGGGTTATCCCAACCACTCATCAGATGGACGTGGGCGTGCAGTCCTTGTCTGAAGTGATGCCAGGATTGTATTGCACGCACTCACGCCAACACACATATCGTTATGGTGTAAAAGGTCAGGACTGTCCAGCTTAGTGTACGACCTGTGGAGATGTCAGCACCTGTGTGTAAAGCCACATGAGGTTTCCCCACACTGAACAAAAGGACCATGACTCTGAATTTTTTGGGGCATCTGTTGATAACACAGTACATAATGTGTACTGTATGTGGGCACAAAACACTCTAAAAAATACCAAACACGCAGTCATTCAGTGCCAAAATGGTCGTTTAAGGACACAATCTTGTAGTTACAACCTCACACATTCCGGTTAAGCATAAACACTGAAACAGGAGAATGTAAAGGATAAATGAAATGTGGGTGGAGATGTACGGTATGTGTTATAGGGCATGAGCATTAATGGAATGACAAGTGTTTGGTGTGCCTGTGAGTTTGCCTGAGGGGTAGATCATGATGTCACAAACATAGGGTTAAACTAGTGCAAAAATATCAGTCCTGTTCTCATCATCGTGATGATTGCCCACAGTGTTGATCACTAAACCTCTGCTTCTAACTTTGTACCAGTTGGTGCTGGTTAGGACGGTGATTTGGTCTCTGCAAAAGTGTGCATTTGAGAATGAACTGCTGTACAGGATGGTTGGATGAACAGTAGTACAGGAGACCAACCGTCACCTATGGTCATGAGCTTTTGGTAATCACCGAAAGAATAAGATAGCAGATACAAGTGGCCAATGATTTTCCTCCATAGGGTGCCTGATGGGAGGTGCTCAGACATCTGGAGGGAGCTCGGAGTTGAGCTGCTGCTCTTTCACGTCCAAAGGGGCCAGCTAGGATCCTTCCCGGGTGCCTTCTGTTAAAGGTTTTCCAACCACGTCCAACTGGTGGGAGGCCCTGGGGTTGACCCAGAACACGCCAGAGAGATTAGATATCTCATCTAGCCTGGGGACGCCTTAGCATCCCCCAGGAGGAGTTGGCAAATGATGCTGGGAAAGGGACGTTTGGAATATCTTGTCCAGCCTGCTGCTCCTGCAACCTGGCCCCTGATAAGCAGAAAATGAATGGATTGGTGGACACTGCCCACATCTCAACTTCTTTAGTTTCAAGTAATAGGCTACATAGTAATGCATATTATAGAAACATGAATATATGAAATCTTAATCAGACAATATGATATTAAATTAAGTAAGAATATATAATATAATGTGTAAATAAACCAGCATAGCTCCAAGAAATCTGTTGATGTGTGTCAAAATGGACACTTCTTTAACAGAGCAGTCACAATTAATACAGCTAACATAAAAAGAAAGAAAGAAGAAAAGAAAGAGAAAGAGAAAGAAAAGCAAACATGAAGTATTTTTAGATTATGTCATCATTATTAAAGTGGAGTGTACCTTCGTCTTTTAAAAATGTGTAGGTCTTGTTTTTGGGCAATAGGGAATTTAATAAATTTTTTTGTGCAATGGGTTTTATCTTAAACCAAAAAAATTAAAAAACTGGCTTAAAACTATAGTCTTTATTAACACTTAATGCTCTGAGACCTCAAACAAAAGGGAAATAAACAAGACTTGTACGTGTGCATTCCCTCATAGGACCTATGAGAATTATTTTTAGGCTATCAGATAATAAAAGTTTATGAGTCTTTGTACGGATCAGTTCAGTTAAACTATGCAGTGGATGTCTGTGTGCCAATGATTTATTAGCTCGGTCTATCAAAAGAACCATCCGCCCTGTTAAACACAAAGAAGAAGAAAAGAAAGAAAAACATTTCTTTTCCTCATGGATTTTTCACAGAGCACCACGGAGCATCATCTTGTTTGATTTGGACTCGCTTCACAATCACTTCTTTGTCTGACCTGCCTTGGAACTGACAATAGAAATGTTAGAGAAACTGTCCAGGTGCACGGCTCATAGCTTTCATTCCCCTCTATCTCTTCGGGACAATTACAGGAATACGAATGTTATCATCCTGCAAAAACAAAATCCCAAACATATTACTACCCTGACAGATTCCTTTGCATCTTGAGTGTGAACAGATGTCCTAACACTGCCTGTTTTAATTTATTAGTCACTTATTAGTGAAGGAAAATTAAGCAAAAAAGTCTTCCCTGATGCATTGTTTGTAACAAGGAAGGAAGGTACTTTTTGTTGTGTGTTTAATCATATATGGACACGTTAATACTTGCTCCCTGGAGTACTCAGTTAACCACAAACCAAATACATGAGGACGTGACTAGAGGCACGCTTTATGGCTTTCTTCAAGGCCACAGACAAACAGTGACAAATCCTGCCGGGTGTGACAGCACTGAGACAGAGACATGAAATTTGGTTTTGTTTACACAGACTTACAACATTCAGCAGTGAACGAGTGGTTCTGCTTTTAGTTGTTCACTTCTGGAGAACCATAGGAAATAAAATGAATTTAAAAAGCAGGCATTGGTTAGCTTATATATTCTTGAGAGGACAGATCTTTAGGGATAATATGCATGAAAAACTAAGTCTCTGGATTTAACATCATTATTTAATCTGTGATAAAATAAACACAGATTTATCTCTAAACACCAAAACAGAATCAGGTGGCTGCAGAGACTGGCCTCAAGCCATGCTGATTAGATTAGATGAGTGACCTCCATAACATTGTTATTGAGCCATATAAGGAAACACCCATGATATAAAAACTACAAGGAAGCTGCAGAACTTGACACTAAATTTGCGACTTAACGGGAAAGCTGATGATCAATGCCATTGTAGTAAAGTGCTTGGTAAACATAAATCTTTGAATAGTTGGACGTGGCTGATGGTTCTCCAATAGTGTGCACAGAAGAAGGTGGAGTCTCTAGAAAAAGGGTGTAAAGCTTCTGAGAAGTACAAGTATACGGAAGCTGTGCATTATTTAACAGACTGGAGCGCTATAGTCAGTGCCAGGAAATCAGGTCCACAGAGATCTAAACACACCTGCAAAACAACACCCAATGTGCAATTAATCTGATACACCCTCAGGGTAACATGAGTCACCCAAAATATAATGCTGAAATTAGTCATGTATATCACAGTTACAGTAAATGTTTTATCGATAATTTGTTGATTTTGTTTTATCTTTCTGTTCTGCGGTGGAGGAGATTCTGCACGTTTCTCGCCGTGCTATTTTTGGTGTGTTATGCAACTTCTCAGTTTTGTTCTTTCTTTGATGTTTGACACAGCAAACAAGTATAGAGAAAAGAATTGTAAACCCATTTGTAATGACTACACCTAACTCACACATGACTAACAATGCCATCATATGGTTTGACAGTCCACAGACTAAAGAACCAGAATACGCTCTAACCTGTTTACCTATATCTGCAGGTGTTATTGTGCATTTATTTATTTATCTTTCTTCAACTTTGTAGGCATTTAGTTTGGTTTAATAATTCTGATGCTCTTACTTGTAATAGATTTTTAGAAATTCCTGCACAGTGACAGTGTGTGGGAATCCGCTTGCCTGTAGATATTTCCTCCTTTGCACCTTCTTACAAGAAACTGAAGGTCAACATTAAAATGCCCTCAAGGAAGTCAGGGGCTGATCTGTGTGACTGCTGCTTCACAGTGTCTTTCTGATTGTTTAGGCCAGGGTTCAGCAATCTTTATGATCAAAAGAGCCATTTTTAACCAAAAACAATATTAAAAAAAATCTGCTTGGAGCCACAAACCATATTTGAGCCTTATAATAAAGATAGCACCTGCAGTACAGGTATTCAAATGTGTATAGATGACTAAGGGAGATTTGTTTTTCCTCAAATGTTCTAACACTCCTCAAACAACTGCAGAAAACAAAACCATTTGTGTTAGACAAAAAAGGCTGAGTCTTGCCATCTTTGTTGGTCT